ATCCATGTCCTCAAGTGCCACATCCACACGGCTTTTAGATCCCTCCAGGGACGGGGACTCCACCGATGCCCTGGGCAGTCTGTGCCAGGCCTGGACAACCCTCAAGTGAAGAAATTTTCCCAATATCCAACCTAAACCTCGTGTTGCTTGTTACCTGGGAGAAGAGACCGACTCCCACGTGGCCGCACCCTCCCCACAGGAGGTTGCAGAGAGTGAGCACGTTCTGCCCTCGGTACCCCGGGTTCGTGTCCCGCTGGCAGGTCCCGGGTGCGGGCTGGGAGCTGGGCTCAGACCTGCTCCCGTATCTGCCGCGGACACGTCTCTTGGTTCTTATCAACACCTGAGCTGCCATTTCCCCGGTTGCTTTCCCAGGAAAGGCAAACAGAGGCGGCCGTGGCTCCGCGGTGGGAGGATCCACGCCGTGCCAGGCTCACCGCGGGGCCGTGGCGGGGAAGATGCACACTGGGGTCAGTCCCTGCTCCCCATGGCCCTCTGCCCTCTCCCCTCCTCCTGGGGCCCAGGGGACATGAACCCCTTTCTGCACCAGAGCAGCGACCGCGATGCCCTGTGCCACAGGGACCTGGGGCTGGGCAGAACTGTCCACCACAAACCCACCCTTCACGAGGGGAAACCAGAACATCGCGTTGTAAAGGGAATATTGTAAAGTATTTTAAACACTACAGGCAGTAGTATTTTACAATAAAATAAATTGTATTTCAGGCTCCCTGTGGAAAGCCTGCAGGGTGTATAAGGGGAAGAGACTCTGTCTTCTGACACGTGAAAAGGAAGCAATGAAGCTTCAGAGACCTGAAAAAGAAAACATAGTGTAGTAAAGCATTGTTTGACCTGGAGTGTTTCCTAAGGTGAAGGGGAATGAAGCTCTCCAGGAGCAAATAGGTAGGTCACAAGTCAATTCAAGTAAAATGTGAAACAGGCATTTTTTTCAGCAGGTGAGATGTCCTGTGGTGGGGAGCTGAGAGCAGCTCAGCTTCCAGGCTCTGTGCTCACCAGCCCCTTCCAGCAACACTCCCAGGTGAGATGCAGCATGCCATGTACACTCTGTGTATAATATATGTATTTATATATGTATGTATGTATATATGTATATCCTTTCCCTCTCTATGAGCAGGTATTGCGATGATCATTTGGGGTCCTTTCCACCAGCTCTCAGCCTGCACCTGGTTCAGATCCCTTGTTCATACCTGCACACTTTGAAATACTACCATCTGCATCTTGATCTTCCTGAAAACCAACACCAACAGGTAGAAACAGCTGGATTCATGGCCAGCCCGTTCCCTTTGCACTCCCCCACACTGTGATAGCTCAGCACTAATTGGACTGACTGGGAATTTCCATTTGTGCTCCAACAGGCTTTCACTCCTCATTAGGGGTATATCATCCATTTGGGTTAAATCAGCTGTTAACGGACCAAAACTTTCAGTTTAATGGAAATCAGTGGTATAAAATCTCATATTTTGCAGGAAGTACATTAAGAAGCTGAGCTGGAAGGAATTCAGCTCCAGCTCTACCAAACAGAAACCAAGTCAGCTCCAGGCATATGCTGGAGTGATGGAGGGAAAGGTGCTAATGCAACATGCTTCATGTTGTGCTCCAAAATAAGAACAGCTCGGCATGGCAAGCAGGAAGGCACTCGTTTGCTGGCTGTGGATAAAGGCATGGAACAGCGTGGCTGCGAAAAATCTGCCTCGTTCTTTACTCGTGGAAGTGTTTGGACCTTTCACAGCTGAAGCACTGCAGCCAGAATGTGCAAACTGTTATACCCGGGATGTGAGAATTCCATCCCCGGAGCCGGCGGGCTCGGAAGGGCCGTGCTGAGGTGTGGGCTGCCTGAACAGGGCAGGATACACAGGTCTGGTGATGTCCTTGGCAGGTCCAAAGGAATGCAGGTGAGGTCTCACCACAGTGGAGCAGAGGGGCAGAGTCCCCTCCTCACTTGATGCCCGTGCTGTGGGATGGGCACACAAGGGGTTTCTGGGTGCCAGTTCTTCTACTCAGGGCTGCACTTTTGTATTCATTCTCATATATTGGTCCCACAGGAACCCTCTGCCAGTCAAGGTGTCACTTCTGTATGCAGCCACGGCCTCATGAGGGGGTGTCTCTCCATCCTGTCAGTGTTACCCTGAGGTTGATGTGAACATGGCCATGGGAGCTCTGGCAAGCCCCCCACACACAGACCATCCTCCTGCCAGCTCCTGCTCCCAGCTGTGCTCTGGCAGGGCTGGCAGGGTCCCCAGAGCCCGGCCCTGCTGCACCTCAGCCTGGCTCCAGCACCAGCACAAATCCCAGGAATGCCTCCTTCCCCTGCAGCTGTGTGCTCTTGGAACTGCTGCTCCAGCCTTCTGTCTCCAGGTTTGGATTTATGGTGCTGCTTAGGTAACCGAGGGAAACAGGCTGGAGTTCACAGTGCATATTTACTGATGCTATCGCTGTGGCTTTGCCATGACTCAAAATTTGCTCAAGACAGGAAACTCAAGGAAGCTGCCACAAGAAGCTTCAGTAAGCAGTGGGACTGTGAATGTCCCTAATGAAATGGCAATTACAAAGGGAGGGAGAAACTAAAAGGCTTCTCCTCTACTAATAGCGTTGCTTTGGGTATTCTTTTTATTATTTTACGCAACAATCCAAGTCTTTTATTGAAATAAACTCTGCTTTGGGTCATTCAGCCGATTCTCCAAGGAGCAAGATGGCTTTCCCCTAAAGCAGCACGGTAGGCTCGATATGATTGTACTGCATTTGCTGTGTGTCTGGTTTGTGGGTTGGATGTTTGCTCTCCTGGGATTGCCAAGACTCAGGATTGATTTTTCCAGTGCTCTCAAATCCTAGAGGGCACCACAGAATAGTTCTGCAAACCAGGCTTGCTCTACAACACAGATTTTACAGGTGTTGCTCTTCTTGTCTTCTTTTTCACTTTCCTTTCTCTTCATATTTGATTTGTATTTAAATTAAAAAGGATCTTAAAGTAGTGAACAAGCAGTTAGTGGATGAGTATAAAACATCAAGAAAAGGCACTATATCTGCAGAATTGAAGCTGTTGCTTTGAAGCTTCAGCCTGTGTAAGTTGCCCCAAAAGCAAAGCCAGGCCAGCGACTCCATCTGCAGCCACTTGCATATTCCCACAGGGGTACAATATGCAGCTGATTTCCCAATTAAGCTTTCCCAGCAAAGAAGTTTTATAATTTAAACAGACTCAAAAGTTTGAGAAATGAATACATATTCATGAAGGACTAATAACGCTCTGTCTAGAACACAGCTTTGAGCTGAGAGCAGCTCTGACTGGCTCATGTCTCACCCACCACACTTAGCGAAAATGGGAACGAGGAAGAAATGGCTGAAACCAGCAGATTGTGTTTTGCTAAGACAATAAATAATAACCGTATTCTGACTCAAGTGCCAAATGTATAGCGCTTAATTAGAGGTCAGTAGAGCATATTTCTGCTCAGCTGTTCCATTTACAGCAATTAACATGTTCGTGTCGCTTAAACTGGGTTGCAGAGCAGATTTCAAAGGGTTGAGCGAAAGCAAAATCAGGGAAGGGCTGTTTCACCATTCGCAGCAGCTCACGAGCAGCACCCACGGCACCCACTGGAGCTCCAGGGAAGACGAGGGACAGAGGGGTCTTAGCCCTGGTCTGGTGTCCCCCTGCCCCATCACTGTGAGGGCTCAGGGGACCCTGCCCCATCGCTGCGAGGGCCGAGGTGACTCTGCCCTCTGGCCAGCGCTGGCTACCCTCCTGCTCGGGCTGTGCGGTGACACATCAGAGGAGGGTGACTGTGCCCGGGGCACCGGCCTCGCCCGTGGCTCCACACCCGCTGCACCGCGTGGGTTCCACTGCCGCCTCCTCCGCCCCAGCGCCAGTGTCCTCCGAGCTCTGCATCGCGGGTGACCGGGCGGGGACCCCGAGGTGGCGAGCGTCCCCGGAGCAGGGGCAGCGCCCGGTGACAGCCCCTGTCCCGCAGCCCCGGCGGTGTCCCCGGAGCAGAGGCAGTGCCCGGTGACAGCCCCGGTCCCGGTGCCGCGGGGGGGAGCGGCAGCGCCGCCCGTGCGGGGGCGGTGCGGGGGGCGGGCGCGCCCCGGGGCCGAGCCACCGCCTCGTCCCGCCCGCGCTCAGTCCGCCCGGGGCCGGCGGCCGTGCCCGGTGCGGGGTTGCGGCCGTGCTCCCGCTGTGGAGGGACCCCGGAGCCGCTGCCCCCGGAGCCGCTGCCCCCGGCCCTGCCCGGCCATGGGCGCCGGGGCAGCCGCGGGCGGGACGCCGCCCCCCGCGGGCGGGCGCTGCCGGCGGCGCGGAGCGGCGAGCGCGGGCTGAGAGCAGGAGCGGGAGCGGGAGCGGGAGCAGGAGGAGGAGGAGGAAGGCGCCGCGGGAGGCAGGTGGGGCGGCCCCGGCGCTCCTGCAGCCGGGCTGGGGCGCGGCGGCGGCGACGGCCGGGGGCGATGCGGGGAGAGGGGCCGGGAGGGCGGAGGTGACCTGGGGGAGCCGGGCGGGCGGAGGGGAGCGGGGCCGGGCGGAGGGAGCCGGCGGGACCGCGGGGAGCGGCGGCGGGCGGGCGGCGGGACGGGGCGGCAGCCGCGGGGGCGGGCGGGGCGGCGGCGCTCGCCGAGGGGCGCGGGAGGAGCGGCCGCTCCGCTGCCCCCGATCGGCCCCGCTGGCTCCGATCGGCCCCGCTGGCCCCCGCCGCTCTCGTTGCCGTAGCCCGGCCGCTCCGCTCCCGCCGCCCCGCCCGCCCTGTCCCTGTCCCCGGTCCGCGGTGGCGTGCGCGGTGCCCCGGGGCGGGGAGCGGAGCGGGGCCCTTCCTGATCGCAGAGATGTCCCCTGGCTGCCGGCGGGTCCGGGAGCTGCGGGGGGACGCTCCGCCAGGCACTGCCGCTTGGAAACCTCCGAGGAAAATCAGGGCAGGGCTCACCTTCCAGCGAGGTTTCCTTTGCTCTCTCTTTTTTTTTGGATGCGTTTTAGATGCCTGTAGAGACTTCGTTGGTTTGCCTCAGACCTATGTGACTCTGGGGGAAGGATCATGACCGAAGTCCTTCTCTCTGCTGCTCTGAATGGAACTGAACCCAACCTGTTATCCAGCAGCGGCTGGTCTGTGGGAAACGTCACCACCAAGTGTTCTCTGACCAAAACTGGCTTCCAGTTCTATTACCTGCCCACCGTCTACATTCTGGTCTTCATCACTGGGTTTTTGGGCAACAGTGTGGCCATCTGGATGTTTGTCTTCCACATGAGGCCTTGGAGCGGCATCTCGGTTTACATGTTCAACTTGGCATTAGCCGATTTCTTGTATGTCTTGACTCTGCCCGCCCTCATCTTTTACTACTTCAACAAAACAGACTGGATCTTCGGAGATATCATGTGCAAGCTGCAGAGGTTCATCTTCCACGTGAACCTGTACGGCAGTATTCTGTTCCTGACCTGCATAAGCGTGCACAGGTACACAGGAGTGGTGCACCCCCTGAAGTCCCTGGGGAGGCTGAAGAAGAAGAACGCCATGTACATCAGCAGCCTGGTCTGGGTCCTTGTGGTGGCCGCCATTTCTCCAATACTCTTCTACTCTGGAACGGGGATAAGGAAAAATAAAACCATAACGTGCTATGACACAACGGCTGACGATTACCTGCGAAGTTACTTCATTTACAGCATGTGCACCACAGTGCTGATGTTCTGCATCCCCTTCATAGTGATTCTTGGTTGCTATGGGCTCATCGTGAAAGCTTTGATTTACAAAGATTTGGACAATTCTCCTCTCAGGAGAAAGTCTATTTACCTGGTTATTATCGTGTTGACGGTCTTTGCCGTGTCCTATCTTCCCTTCCACGTGATGAAGACCTTAAATCTAAGGGCCAGGGTGGATTTTCAGACTCCAGACATGTGTGCCTTCAATGATAAGGTTTATGCCACTTACCAAGTGACGAGGGGCCTGGCCAGCCTCAACAGCTGCGTCGACCCCATCCTTTACTTCCTGGCAGGTGACACCTTCCGAAGGCGGCTTTCCAGGGCCACCAGGAAATCGTCCAGAAGGAGCGAACACAACGTGCAGTCCAAAAGCGAGGAAATGACTCTCAATATTTTAGCAGAGTATAAACAGAATGGAGATACCAGTTTGTGAACAAATGTGGAAGATTTGGGAGCAGTTTGAAAAAATCCTCCGCTTTGAGGCAATAGGAGACTGTAGGGCTACAAGTGTGTGAGGAAAATCTACCAGTCTCAAATTCCTTTTAGGTAAAGCCTCATTTTCTGATCTTAGAAAAAGCTTAACAAAGTCAGTGGAAGGATTCTAATGGAAAATAACGTGTCAAAATTCAGCTTTCCTTCAATAGTCTCATTTCTTTCTGACTTGTGTCAGATAAAGTAAAATGAAGTAAATCCCCTAAAGGAGGAAAGCAATCCAAGTGCTTCTAGTTTAATGACTTAGTCTCCCACGTTCAAAAATGTTCTCAGTCAGCCTGTCTTTAAAAATAGGAAATAAAAATAAGAGCAGTATCTTGTCTTCTGAGGCTCAGTCACAGCCTTTTGCTGTTGTACACAAGGATTTAAATGAGAGTCACGATACAGTTATCATTTACAGTTTTATTATTTCTAGTGCTGATAATTATTTGGTAGTTTGGTGGCATTTATGGTTCAGTCCTCTTTCAGTGCCGGTGTTTTACTAAAGGTAGGCTTACTGGTGTGTGCATGGTTGTGCTTTTGGATCGCGATGGTTGTTCACGACAAGTCTGGACCCCTTTAGAGGCCGAGGGCTGGCGGGTGAGGTGGTCCCTGGGGCGCTGGCAGATGGGCCCCCCGCAGGGCTGTGTGTTGGTGAGCAGAGGTGTGTGGAGGTGCCCCAGCCCTGAGCCCAGGGTCCCACCCTGCTCTGTGCCAGGGCGGCCGGAGGGGCACGGACTGGGCTGGCCGGGGAGCGCGGGGTGAGCCTGGCCCAGGGGCTGCCAGCATCCTGCCTGCCCGGCCCAGGGGCTGCCAGCATCCTGCCGTGGCACCGGAGCCCTGCAGAGCTCTGTGCAGGGAGAAGTGGCTGTGCTGGAAATGCCTGACCCTGCCAGGCCAGCACAGGACAGGTGCTCGAGTTACCTGCCTTTGGTACGAGAATGGTTCTGTTCCTGCAGTCTGTACAGACAACACAAGAGTTGTTTCCCGAGAAATATAATGATTAAAATGGATTATATAAATGGAATATATATATATTATATATATATATATATATAACAGTAATTGGGGGAGGGAATGAGTTTTTTGTACTTTGGCGAATAAATTACTGTATTAACATGTTGCAATATCCTAAGGACTAAATCCAGCCCTTTATTGTAGATCTTCTCCAAATGTGGAATAGTTCATCCAAAATTAGCCAAACTGCAATATTGTGTAACATAAGAGCTAGTGATCAGGCACAGACGAAATCTTACATGGGCAGTCTCACTTGTTTCTCATGTTTTTAATAAATGTATTTGAAAATATTTTGTGCTGAAAGCATTATGAAAGCATGCTCTGAATTATGAATTTAGTGTACGAAATAAGGTTCTATGTAATCCTAAGGGTGATTTGTTCCTCCAGTCTTCATAGTAAGAGTAAAATACTTATATTTTACTTACCAGTTTCCAGTGGTTGGTAACAAACGAGAGTAGCTCTAGTTATTTTTTGACAACATTGTAAAGCAGCTTCTGTTCACAAGTACGGCTTCATCTGCAGAATCCCTATTTATTGAACTTATTTATTAGAATGCTAAATGTAAAGTATGTAAAGTGTGGTTCTCCGTGGTCATGTTCAGAATTGGGCATTAATGGAAAATTGAAGAGCATGTTTCAATCACTGTATTAATAATGTGTCTTTTAACAGAACATCTTTATAATAAACTTGATTCCACCCTGACTATTCGCTGGTGATATGTAACCTAGTGATAAATTAAACTACTGATGTATAGCCTAGAGGTAAATGAAACTCCAGCTTAGCAAACCTCTTAAAGCAACGTGGAGAGCTCATTCAGTCCTATGAAAAATGTAGAGGTAGTGAAAAAATCCCAGCCAAGGGTCAATTGCTAATTAATCCTGACTGACAAAGCCCATGGAACAGCACAGACTATTTATATACCACAGAAAGAGCCTGATTCACAATAAATGACTTCTCCTATTATGTGATTATTTGAGGCTTCATTCAGCTGAGGCACATCTTGTTTGGAATGGCAGATGAATTACACGGAGAGGGAGCATAAAAATAGGATATTCTCTGAATCTGCTTCTCTGGGTTGAAAATCCTGTTCATTTCCCAGTGTTTTGTGGTTGGTTTCAGTTAGTCCCACTAATTCATGCCTGCAAAAAGATCCCAGGTGGCTGGACACGTGGCAGGAGAGCCCCACGTGTGGATGGAGCAGGGAGATCCACCCTGGGGACCCTGTTGGGCCACCTTACCTGCAGCCTGCTGGGTCTGTGCTCCCTGGGCAGCCTGCTGGAGCCGTTCCAGTGCTCCCTGCCTGGCCAAGGGATGGTGCAGTTGGGGTGATTCACCAGGTCATCACTGAGGTCTGTTGGGACAATTTGTTGGATGAAGGTCCCTTTCATGCCGAGCAGCCGTGGCAGGAGGCAGCACTCACAGCTTCCCACGTGGACACACTCGGGAGCCTCCCAGCACACACTGAGCAGGGTCATTAAACACCTTTAACATGGGGCTGATTTTCCATCTCTCAGCTCCTGTGCCCTGTGACTCCCAGCTGTACCTGCTGAGATGTCACAGCCACTGCTGAATCCTGCTGGAACATGGAGCTGAGCCTCCCAGCCTCCTGTAGAGCTCTGGTCTAGAGGCATTGCTCTGTTTGGCATAAGGTAGTCAGAGCCACTGCAAAACCCCACCAAATTCCTGTCTCCTCCCACGCCTGCTGGAACAACAGAACCATGTGTGTTGGGTGTCCCTCTTAGAGGATGCTGGTCAGCTGGGGGGGATCGGGCACCCAAGCAGAGCCATGAGCTCCTGGGGAACTTGGCAAGTCTGTTGTTAGACTGTTCCTTTCTAAAATGTATTTGTGGAAGACAGTCCACCAGCCTTAGGGGCCCAAGGGAATCCCTGTGTTTATCCGTAAACCCTGGAGATGGGTGTAGTCAGAGACCTTTCCCTGATCAGCTGGAGTTTCTGATCCATCCAATGTGCAAAGGGAATGCAACTGCCACTCCAGCCTTTAGGATGACCATGGGCTGTGATTACCAGGAACAGGACTCAGCTCATCACCTCACTACTGTGACCACCTGAAAATTCCACCTTCCCTCAAACCGTACAGCCTTCGACTGGCAAATGAGATTAAACGTGTTCTGATTTTGTGGTCATGCATGTAACCTACTTTTCCCCTGGGTATGTTTGGGAATCTTCTAATAACTACCAGTCATTCACTGGAGACACCACGAAGTTTGAAGTAATAATTATTCAGAGCTTAACTTTAGCCAAAGCACTCTGCAGGGCCCCACGCCGACACCAGTTCTCATTCATGAGCTGTATTTGCTTCCTGAAGCTCAGAGGGTTAATGATTTTTTTCATTTGTGCCCAGTGTCTCTTACATATCTTTAACACAGCATGAAATCAGTATGAAACCTACAGGTGAGCTGCTGTCAGCTTGTACATTTTCATAGCACAGCACCGTGGATTTTTTGTTTTCATCCTGCTTCTGTGATGTGATGGAGAGGGGCTGTTCTTCTCCACCGCCACCAGGAGAGTCCTACCTGGAAAGTCAGGGCTGTGGACTTAAACACACCGACCCCGGGGTGCCAGGAGACAAAAGAACTGCTAATCCTCTTATTTGTCTATGATTTTAGTGAACAAAAAGGTTTTGTTAAGATTTTAATAGAGCACGAGGCTGGTTGCATGTACATGCACTGGTTTTGAAGTTGCAACTATTTTTAGTGGCAGCAGAACTGCAGCCCCAGCGCTGCTGGCACAACAGCACCTCACCTAGCAACTCGTTTGGAGCCGCCCCAATGGCATTATGAAACGTTTCTTCTGCCTTTTGTGTTATTGTGCTTAATTCACATTTCCAGGTGATGCTTCAGGCAGCAATATGTCTTAGAAATAGATCATAAATGGTTTGCAAAATACTGAAACCAAATGTGTGTAAATAAAATTTAAAACCTTGAGAGGAACCAGGTGGATCAACTGAGAATAAAAATAAGTGAATAAATGAGCAATGCTTCATCTTAAAGGATGAAGGAGGTCTGTGGGGTCTCAGAGCAATTCTGGAGTGCCAACAGCAGACACAGGGAATATAACCTATCAGTATTTAATTGATTTCACCTGGTTTATTTTAAGATTTATTTAACTTCCTTTTTATTTTTTTTCCTCTTGGTTTATCTTTGCCCTTCATGCAAGTGTTTCAGCTTTGCTGTAATATCCCTTTCATTGAAATGATATTTTCTTACCATTAAATGAATTACGTTTTCAACAAATCATGCTGTTCCGAGCATTTCCAAAATTCCCTTTCCCAACTGAGAATGCCTGCCCACTGAGACCCGGCAGCCTCTTCCCCCCTCAGCACAGAAGTCTTCAAATGCACAGTCAGGCAGGTCCTGGGGTTTGCAGGGCTCTGCTCTGGCTGGTTGTGTTTGCCATGAGCAGACACAGGCAGTGTGTGAACACCAGATTTAATACCTGTGCTGACTGTGCATTTCCCTCTGGTTTCACAGAGTCACAGGATCATTTGGGTTGGAAAAGACCTCCAAGATCATCGAGTCCAGCCTTTGGCCAGTCACCACAATGGCTTCATTTAAGCGTGGCCGGAGCAGGCACACACGGGGTGCTGTGACCCTGGCAGGGGTGAGGCAGTGCACCAACCCAGGGGGTGTTTGTTTCTAAACATTATTTTACAGCATTAGAAAAACAAAGACCAGCCTGTGGCGAGAGGAAACGGGCAGAACAGATAAATAATTAAATAAATGGGGGGTTTCAGACTGTGCAGCTCAGGTTTCTGCTGCCAGCACCAGGCTCTGGCTCTGATGGGAGTGGGAGGGAGATGCCAGGAACGTTGCTGTGCAGATTGGGCTGAGCTCAGGCTGGGCTGGGATCAGGGCAGTGCCTGGAGGGCACTGGCAGAAGGGACACATTCTGTGGGGTTTACCCCAAACCACCACCAGCAGCCATGGGGACGGCTGGTGTCCAGCTCCACTGGACTTGGAGAGGTCCCAGCCCTGCTGCCCATGCTGGCATTCCCACAGGGCTGAACCTGGCCAGGACTGAGGCAGGAGAGGCCCAGAGCTGCTTGGAACCGCTGAGCTGAGCCGTGGTGCGGGCAGGAGTGTGAATACCCGGAGGCTGCACTGTTCCCAGGCAGCTGAGTGTGGGTGTCACCAGCACCAGCAGTGCCTCTGTGTGAGGCACCAAGAGGACAGTGAAGTGTTGGGTGTATTTATATCCCCTGGGGCACACACACCAACACAGGGCTCCTTGGGGAGTGGTGTCACCCCTCTGTGAGGTGGCAGAGACCCACACCCACCACAGCCACCAGCAACATGTCTTGCAGCCCTGGCACTCGCCAGACATCCCAGCTGAGAACCGGGCAGGGACTCCCACCAGGAAACCCATTCCCAGGGTCCTAAGTGAATGCTGCCTGCCTGTGGAAGCACCTCATGTCCCTGAGTAAACACCAGAAGATCCACTCATTTCAAGTGCTGGGAACAGCATTTACCCTTCCTGGCATTCCCCTCCATCCAAGGCACGGCAGAGTTGTTTGTGTTAATAATTCATAGAAGTCTTCTCCATTCAGTTCATGGCTCTGCCAGGCAGCAGCACCAGCAGCTGCCCTGCACACTCCTCCTTGAGCCAGGGGCAGTGACCTGGGATGGACTGAAACCCATGGGCAGGAGCCCTGCTGCTCCCACAGACCTTCCCCAGCAGGCTGAGTGCCTCAGCTCCGGTTTGGTTCTTAACCAAAGCCAGGTCCTAATTTTCACAATGAGCCTGGTAAAACCCTGGCACAGGTTGCCCAGAGAAGCCGTGGCTGCCCCATCCCTGGAAGGGTCCGAGGCCGGGTTGGTTCCTGGTGGGTTGCAGGCACCCTCTGCCCTGTGGGCAGCACGTGCCCACTGACAGGGATTTCTCTGTGAAAGCCAGGCTGGTTGGTCACAAATGCATCTCCTTCCACTGCTGATAACAGCCTCTTGTAGGGAGCTGATTTTTCTCCAAGGCAGTGGCTGAGAACTGACCCAGCCAGGGAGGCGGTGGCCAGGCTGGGGAGGGAGCTGGGGCCAGACAACATGGGGAGGAGGGTGGGTGTGGGACAGCTGGCAGAGGTGGGCGGGTACCCCGCCCTTGGTACCACCCAAACTGACAGAACGGACTGACAGAGGAGGGGAAGGGATGGTCCTGCACGAAGCCAAACATCCCAAATGGAAGGGCCAAAGGCTTGGGCCACAGCTCTGGTACCAATGGATGAGGATTTGTTTGCTCTCTCTGGGACCCAGCTGGGAGAACCTCTTGGGGGTTATAACACAATTTTTGTACCAAACATTATCTTATTCCGGAATTAAAGAGCACTTTTAAGAGTCCACAGTAGTTTAATTCTTTGCAGATGACTGAGTTTTAATACCCTCAGTACAGAACAAACAGCAGAGAAGTTCAGCCATACATGGAAGATAAATAAACTTTGCATTATAGAGGAGAAATTATTTATCTGTTTGATATCACTGGCCCATCCCTGTCCCTATCCCCCTCCTGACTGCAGGCTCCATACAGGACCCCAGGACTCATATGGGTTTCACCTCTCCCTGCTCCCCTAAGCTGCAGTTGGGCAAATCCTTGGGGTCTGTAGCAGTTCCCAGAGCGGGGACAGCAGCCAGGCCAGAGGGAAGCAGGTCCCTGGCGCTGGAGCTCTCCTGCTCTCCTCCCCCTCAGCGATGTGTCAGGACACGTTTGGCACAAATAAAAAGTTGTTGTTTAACATTCTTGTGTATTTGTGAGCAGCGACAGTGATGCTTCCTGTAAAACAGAGCTGCGAGCGTGGCAAAGCTGTTTGATGTTACAGCCTTATTTAAACAGCATTTAGATAGTAAAAGCAGTCATTCCCCTCATCCCCACATACCAGCTACCCATTAAAATTCCTTCTCATGCTCTTGCACAAAGACTAATTTTGGCAGGAGGCTGACTTGCCCTAGATTTTTAAAAGACTACTTGTTTTAAAACAAAGTCCTTTGGAGAAGGGAGAGAGCTGGGAGAGGGCTGCTTCCTCCCCTTGCCCATCTCAGTCCTGCAGCAGCCCAAACACCCCCAATCTCCTCACCCTGATCACCCCCCATCATCCTCTATCCCATCACTCCATCACACTCCCATCCCATCGCCCCTCACCCAATCACCTCCCAGCCCTGCTGGATGCAGTATCCTCCTCCTCCTCACGGAGGGGGCTCCCAGCCCCACAGAGGGGTGATGGAGGGGGACAGGAGCTTTGGGCACAGAGCAGGAGGAGCCAGAGAAAGATTGAAAAGCTGTCGTTCACCTTGACATTTACACACTAAAAATAAAGTTTCTAATGTTAAATGCTTTTTTAAAAAGTTATGCCAATATTCAGGTATTACTGAAGTAGAGTAAAGCTCTGGGTTTACAAGCTGGCTCTTGCTGCCATCAGAACCACTTTCCACCAAGGTGTTCCTTTGGTCCTGAGTTATTTTGTCTCCTTCAGGCTCTGGGCAAAAAGTCACTTGGCAGTGACAACAGAGCACGGCAAAAATCAGAAGAAACCTGACCCACAGGTGTCTCATGGACAGGTCCAGAGAGCAAACAGATCCAGAGAGACCCACAGAGGCAAATCAACAGCCAAACCCTCCCTGGGAGCAGATGGAGGAGCTGACTTGCCTGTTTGGCTGCGATTCAATGAAAATGTTCTCTACCCTTCCTTTTCTGCTCAGGGATAAATCTGCAAAGGAAAACATTTCTCAGTGCTGTGTGCTGGCAGGGCTGGTGTCACACCAGCAGGATCCAGCACTGCCATGGCCCCTTGGGCATGTTCCTGAGTGTTCTGAGAGCTGCTTTGGCTCCAGGATCAGCAGGCTGCTAAAACCAGGAGAGGTTAAACACCAGTGAGTCCCAGTGAATCCCAGTGAGTCTCAGTGATTCCCATCCCCCAGTAAATGGCTGTATAAGCAGTTGCCCTTAATGGATGTACACAAGGAAGCAGACCTGAATTTTTGGGTAGCAGCTGTCTGCAGCACCCCAGGCCATGGTGCCCTCAAGGGATGGCTCCATAGAGGGATGCTGCCTTTAAAACCTCCATAGGGGCTCATGGGTGCCCTGCTCACAGTGGGGACGGAGCCAGCACAGCCACAGCACCCACCTCACCATTCCCAGCTGCTGGTTGGAATTCACCCCACGGCCCTTCACTGGGCTCAGCCAGGGGAAGGGACAGAGCTGGTCCCCCACTGTCACCTGCCCGACGCATCCGTGGCTGCCGACGCGGCCAGAGAGGCTCCAGGTTGGCGTCGTGGCCCCGATCCTTCGCCAGCGGGTTTGGCCACTGACTCTGCTCATTTAAGCTCTCCTGTAACTGATACTGGAAGGGGTGACTCAGCCCTAAGTATAGTTACCTGCACCCAAAATAGAGAGGAGGCCTGTGGCAGCTCAGGGCTCCGGGGTGCAGGTCAGCCCAGAACGACTCCTAAAGCCACGGGAGCAGGAGGTGCAGCACAGCCAGCAGGGCAGGTGGCACCAGCTCTTCACCTGTTTGTACCCTCAGTCCAGGAGGGGACTCCAAAGTAAGCCTTTGGAAATTAATCCTCTGTGTAGAATGTACAGAAACATAAGCTTTCAGTTGTTCCTTTTCTTAATCAATTCACACTGACCAGAGCTCAGGAACAGGATCAATTTACACCACATCTAAAAATACACCATCAGCTACACACAGATGGATCTAAGGGAGGGGGGGTGACTATGTGCATGTGCATGTGTCCCTAAAACACTAAGATCCACTTGTAAATCATACAAATTCCTGATACTTTGCTGCAAAGGATGGGGAGGTGGAAAACACAGTGCCCTGACAGTGCACAAATGGGGCTTTTGTCACTTGCCCAGTAATTGGCCCTGAAGCCCCCGTGCCCGTAAGATTCAGGAAGAGATCTAGAAGCTCCAGTAAGTTCACACTAGTGGGAAATCCCCAGGAGGAGACAGAGGAGCCGACACCAAGAGTTGAGGGGCTGCATTCTGGGCTCACTTTGCCTCTCAGGCTGAATTGTTTAAAAGAGCAAACAGGAATTTCCCTCTTAGACTAAGATAAACTCTAATTAATTCGTGGCAGGGTCTATCCAGCAAACACCAGGAATAATCTGTACATTGTGAAATGCTGCTGGATGTCACTGTGAGCAACCAGCCCTGGCCATGCCACAGGTCCTGCCTGATGCAGCCAGAGAGCACAAACCCTGGGCTTAACCACTGCGCTCTGACTAACCCCACTGCCAGCACCACCTGTAATTAAATGCCAGATTTAATATCTGCAGCTAAACAGGTCACAGAGCAGGGACAGAGGCTGCCCCGAGGAGCCTTGCTGGGGCGTGGGGGTTCCCAGATGGATTTTGGAGCCAGGATGCTCCCAGAAGCAGCCACAGCTACACTCCTCCCACAGCACCAACACATGGACCTGGCAGCTGAGGGGGCTCGGGCAGGTTGCAGACCCAGTCAGCTGCCCTGGGGTGCTCTGCATCAGATGGTGGGGCTGAACTGGGCTGTGCATTCCCAGAAATCCCCCAGAACACTGGGCTGAACTGGACTGTGCATTCCCAAAAATCCTCCAGAACACTGGGCTGAACTGGACTGTGCATTCCCAAAAACCCCCAGAACACCAGGCTGAAGCAGGTTGTGCATACACAGAAATCTCTGAGGATGCTGTGGTTGAACTGGGCTGTTCCCCCAGAAATCCCCTGGGATGCTGGTGCTAAACTGGGCTGTGCCCCCCAGAAATCCCCCAGGACACTGGGCAGGACTGGGCTGACCCCCCCCAGGGGTGACCCCCTGCAGGAGCTGCCCCAGGACACCCCCCAGGCTGGGACTCCTCGAGAGGCTTTTGCTCTCTTTGGCAGTACTGCTTGTGAGGGTATAAACACGCACCCAGGATCACTGGAAATGAGTCACATTTCAGTGCCATGTAATTATTAGTTATCATATATGATATTTGCCAGCTCGTGCTGTGAACAGTTACCTTATATAACACCTGGAGAGGTGTGTCAGGCTCCAGTGGTTTCCAAGGTCTCTGTTTTGAAAGAGATTGGAGTGTGGTGCTCCTTTTCATCAACTCCAAACCTACAGAGCTGTTCACATGTTTATCCAGCCAAATGAGGTGTTTTGGTGGGCAACACCTCCTGTGAGAGGGGCCAAGGCCCTGGTGTGGCTGTTTTCCTCTGCAGGACACCCTGAGCCTGGCTGGGCACTCCCAGCCCCTCCTAAGGGTCACCAAAGCCACCACAAGTGTTTCGATCCCTCCTGTCACCGTTGTATCTGAGCCTCAGTGCCTTTAGGATCTGCTTCTCCCCAGCCCTCCCCTGGGTCCAGGGAATGGTGCCACCAGGACACAAAGGGGTGAGGAATGGTGGGGATGCCCCAAACCACGTGGAAATTCTGTGGAGCAGCAAAGCACTGAGTCAGGAACACTAACCACTGCATCAGCTCTCTGTAAAAGCCACTTAACTGGGATATAAACTTTCCCTGACAAATCTAATACATTTGTCTCAGTGCCAAGTGACCATTAGCCCTCATTAACCCATCCTAACACATGGATCCCAGGGATGCTGAGGGGCCACAAGCTCCAGCCCACTTGTAGATGAGCCACAGCCTCTCCAGCTCAGGTACAGAGCTGGTGGAGGACGGGGCAGGTTCATCAGGTGGGAGCAGGACTCAGCCTCATGACCAGCAGCTCCAGGATGGTGCCACAAGGCCTGATGTGGCCAGGCAGCACTGCTGTGCTCCTGCAGCCTGAGACAGCAGCACAGCTGCCCGATTCCCTGCACCCTCAGCACGAGCAGTGATGCTCAAGATGATGCCAACAGACTACGTGAGGTAACTGATGCTTTGGACAAATCCCTTTACAGCCTCTCCAAAAGGAGCAGAGAGAGGAGCTCAGGAGGGGAGGTGAGAACTGCTGGCACGCCCTGACAGAGGCTGTGCCTGGCTGGCACCTGGCGCTGCCTGTGGGCCCTTCCCCCTCCATTGCTTCTGGTTCCACACAATCCCCCTCAGTGCTGAGCTCACAGCGATTCCAGGCCATGCTGGCAGGGGCTGCAGCCGCTCTCCAGCCACTTCCCAGCCGCTTCCCAGCCGGTTCCCAATGGGCAGTGTGATGGAGGAGCCGTGTTGTCTCTCCTGGATGCACGTCCAGCTTGGGCAGCCAGGCATGAACCAGCAGACACCCCCTCTCCAGCACTCCCTGTTCCCAGCCTACCTCCCAAACCTCCTCCCTAGCCCTGCTGCTGTCACTGCTCCAGGGCAATACCAGGCTGTGCTGCTCTCTCTGAACCATCTGGGTTGAGGCGAGTGAGGTTTCACAGGTACCTTACAAAGTTGGGTGAACACCTTCAGCGTGGCCACTGGTTGGGAATGGCCGGCAGGAGGCTGGCACACGTGGTGCTGCCATCCCCCCTGTGGTCCCGGGTTGCTCTGCCATGGGCAGTGTGTCCCCAGCCAGTAAAAAACACGATTTTCCTTACTGGGCTTGTGCTGGGTGGAAGAGCTCTACAGACCTGGGCAGCCCCCGACCCAAAGCTGCCTTGTATGACACTCACGAGGCACAGTGTGTGCAGGTGGAAGCCAGAGCTCCCTCTGCAGCTCCAAAACATGACGTTCCTTCTGAACCAACCTGGCATTACCATTCCCGCCAGAGCTCCCTCTGCAGCTCCAAAACATGACGTTCCTCCTGAACCAACCTGGCATTCCCATTCCCGCCACCAGCGCGGTGCTCCGGCAGAACCTGGTGCCTCTGGGAGCTCAGCGAGCATCGAGCAAAACCAGAAACAGGCAGAAGAGGGATTTCCCTGGAAAACACAAAAGTATGGCTGTCCCACGGTCATGGTCATTGACTCTGAGGCTTATATTATAAAGGGTGTGTAAATGCTGATATAACTGTGATCTCCCTTTTCAAAGCCACTTAAAAGGCTTTTTTTCTCTTTTCTCTTTTTTTGTAATAAAACAAACCACCAAACAAGCCCTAAAGGTATTTCTTCAGCAGGAACTTGACTGAGGCAGAGCTGATGAAGTGCAATCCACTGCCTTTCCATTTACTTAACAGGAAACAGGACACTGTAGGAAATTATCATACTCCATAATTTCAGTAAAAAGCTTTTCAATAAAAAGATTAAACATGTCTCTAATGTGTGAAGATATGAGCAGGTTATAATTACTGTTGACCTCACCTCATCAGCAGTATTTAATTGATGTCAGGGTCTATGTCTGCCTGTGCAAGTTAATCAGCATCCCTGGGCCTCCAAAGACCACATTTGCAACCTCCTAAGGAAGCAGGAGTACCTCTGGGTTTTTTCCTCACTTGTTTTTTTGTCTCCCTTCCCTTCCACACATCTCTGAGCTGCTTCATCTGGGCTCTGCCTGGGGTTTGGCATCCAACACAAAACAGCTGCTCTGAGCCCCCTCCTAACCCCTCGTCCTTCCCAGACTCTTGAAGGGGGTCACTTTTCCTGGGTGTGATTTCCCACCTGGGGGGGAGCTGCTCCCGGCTGGGCTGCGGGTCCCGCGGGCTGTTCCAGAGCCGCCCCTGCCGACCTGGGCAGAGCCCGGGGCCGGTCCCGAGCCTCGCTGCCCCCCGACCTGCTGCCAGGGAGGGGCTGGCACCGACCCCGTGCTGTGCTAGAGACACACACGGCCAGGTTATAAATACTCCGGGATCCAGGAATGCGCATGGAAGGGCTGGAGCGGCGCGCGGGTGGGGGGCGGGTGCTGCTCCATTGCTACATCCATATTTATCCGCGGCTTTATTTAAGTTTCAGGGAGGTTTTTTCCCCACCAGCCACCAAGGAGCTGCTGCCCCACAGGATGGTGTGAGAGCAGAGCAGTGCATGGGCTGTTCCCAGAGAGGTGCTGCAACTGAGGGACAGAACCCACTCTGTGCTCCGGGGCAGGGACTGGGAGCGTGCAGAGCCTCGTGTCCGTGCTCCGGGACAGAATTACCATGGACAGACTTTTCCTGGATGAAACAGATTATCTGATTATACTGGAATCCACCAGAGCAGGACCAGGATATGTCCCGTTTGGCACTGCCGTGTCTTTACCATAAAACCTGTTCTGGAGAAACCCCAAACCCAGCAGTGAAATATTTCCCTTGGCCGTGGGCACAGAGCTCAGCTCTGACTGACTCCCCCAGTGCTGGGGGGAGCACCCCGGGGCGTTGGGTGCTGCCTTGGGGTCCCTGTGTCCATCCCAGGGGCATTGGGTCCATCGGGATCCTCACCTAGGGAATGTCCAGCAGAGATCAGGGTAGAAGATGTGTCCCTCTCCACCTCTTTCCCCTCTCCTCCCGCTGCCAATGCACAGATTTGGAGACAGGGCACCCCAGGGTAATTCCACAGTGAGGTCAGGATTCCAGGGTTTTCTGAAATTACAAAGCAACTTCTCCACGGTGTCTTTCACGGTGTTAAGCTGATTAGTACCATTTAAAAAGGAAAAAAGTAGCTTAATTCTATATCTTAGCAAAGCTTCTTTGCCAAGTGCATTCAGGAGAAGAATCCCTCTTCCCAGAGGAGCTGAAACCATTAGGGGAGATTTGCTGCTGGAGTCCATCCTCTCCCAGCTCCTTACAGCTACTGTGTGTCCTGGGCTTGCTATTTGTAAAAACTCAGGGAAAATCTGTCAAAGCTGTAAGGGGCTGAGGTAAGGAGGCGTCAAACCACTTCTGTGTCACCTCCCCAGACACAAACCCACTGCTGGTTTAGGCAAGTCCCACTAAGCACAACTGAAGGTTTTGAATCTCTCCTGCTTAGAAACCTCCAGGATTTTGCCAGCCTCCAGCTGGACTCCATGAGAAGCAGCAGCTCTGAGAGGAAAACTCATGGGCTGGAATCAAACCTTGATGCTGGACTTCATGTGCCAGGAGCAGCCCCCTGCACTGGCCAGGACGGGACGGGTGTTGGTGCTGGCTCCCAGCTCTTCCCAAGCATTCCCATTTCTGACCTCTGCTCTCCTCCCACTCGAGTCAGCAGAGCTCAGTATGGGAGAAGGGCTTGGAGCTGTGAGACCTGGCAGGGACTGTGGCACCAGCTCCCACAGCAGCAAAGGAGAGAAACCCTTGGGAGAGTTGGGGATAACACAACCTGACAGAAAGGGAAGGGACACGAAAGGTGTGTCTGAGAAACCACGAGCGACACAATTAAATGCACTTGTACGTTCCTGGCACAGTGAGCACAGAACCTGCACCACACGCGGCAGGCTGAGCACCACAGCTCAGGCTGAGCACCACAGCTCAGGGCTGAGCAAAGCGAGGTGGGTGGAACGGGGCTGAGAAAGGAGTCGTGATATTTGGGAAATGTAAATTAGAGCTCCAGCAGCGCTCAGCAAACAGCGATCCGATGTGAATCCTTTGGGATGGAGCAGGTAAATGGCACAGGCTCTGAGAACTCTGGGGAGGGGAGAGGCTCTGCCATCACGGGCTGTTCACGTGTATCAGTAACGAGAACTCACACTAAAATCATGAGGTGCTTTATTTTTGGAAAGATGATGTGTTGCTCCTTCTGAGCTTAGCAATTTCCTAATCCCACTGAAAGAATGATGGTCTTATGATGTGAGCTTCTAAATAATGTATCACAGCTCCATTTACAAACACACTACAGGTCAATTTACAAGTGCACTACAAAGCACATTTAGCACCGAGGGGGTTTACTGCCTGTAGGAATGGTGATGCATCCATTGGCTCCCAGTGTCTCAAGTACTGTGAGTGCCTGCTGCCTCTGCCCATCACACACAGGCCCCTGGCATCAGCTGGGCCTGCTGCTTCTGACAGGCTGTGCCTTCTAAAGCTGACCTGTCCCATTGCAGTGAGGGGTTTGTGGGAACAACAGGTATTTTTCAAGTGCCACTTGCACTCTCGTACCCCTCAGAATCCCAGGAGTCAGATATCCCATGTGTAGGCAGAGCAGGTGGTTCCAACAGACCCACGTCAGCCCAGCACTGGGCAGATATGCACCAGTATCTATGAGGAACAAGAGGGGGATGACTGAAAATAATCACTTAAATAAAAATTAAGATTACTGCTAATAATTTTGCTGCAAAGCAGCCTCTCTCTTCCTCTGCATTTCCCCCGAAGGATGGACCTGGAGCCGCCGGCATCTCCATGGTGACAGCTCGGCACAGCTCCCGCGGGTGCACCGGGCTGCGGGAGCCGGGCAGGGAGGACATGGAGACCTGGGGTTACACTCCCAGCAGAGACCCTTCGGGGCCAGCGCTGGGCAGAGCCGCGGCCTCAGCACCCAGGAAGGCTCAGCACCAGCCCAGGTGTGCGAGGGCAGAGGTGGCTCTGGCCTTGGTGGTGGCACCGTCCCGCGGTGGTGGCACTGCTCTGACACCACCCTGCCCCGCGGCTGACCATGCCACAGCCTCTCTGCAGCACTCCAGTGCCGTCAGTGAGAGCTGCAAGCTCATTTATACCTATTTTTAAGTCGGAGATATTGTCTCTGCACTGGCTAAATATAAAAGTCTCATACGGTGTGGTGAGTAAGGTTTGGCCAAGTGCCACGGCAGCCGGGCCGGGCTCCGGGAGCTGCACACACGGGAACTGGGCTGGAGACATGGCATCAAACCCACCCCACAGCCCAACTGCTGCTTGGCACAGCCTGGGCAGACGTGTGAGAGCAGGGGCCCTGCTCAGGGGCGCACAGGGATGGGAGCTGTGTTGGATCCCTTGCAGGTCAGCTCTGGAGGGATGCCTGTCTCCATGTGGGCAGTCACGGGCCGTGCAGGGGGTGCTGCTGCGGGTGGGTCTGCAGGGGGTGCTGGTGTGGGTGGGTCTGCAAGGGATGCTGGTGTGGGTGGGTCTGCAGGGGGTGCTGGTGTGGGTGGGTCTGCAGGGGTTGCTGCTCTGGGTGGGTCTGTAAAGCCCTTTGCATTTGCGGGGTGTGGGGGTTCAGTGCTGTGCTGGCAGCCGTGTCCCCCTGTTTCTGCTGCCCCTCGTCCGTCCCTGACCCCCCGGGAGGGGCTGCCAGATGGCTGAGGGGCATCATGCAGGTCCCACTGGATCCCCCAGGGACCCACAGCTCTGCCTGCTGCTCACACAGCCCAGCCCAGCTCTGCAGAGGGTTTGCCAAACAATTCACGCATTTCCACAGCACTAAACAGGCAAAGCCTTTGTCCCCCACCACTGAACCCAAAACCCTCTCCAGAGGGCAGCCAGTGGCCCCTCATAGGGGCTGGAGCCCAGCAAGGTCCTGCACAGGGGGTCAGCAGCTCCTCACAGCCCCATCCAGCCTGGCCTTGGACACTTCCAGGGATGGGGCAGCCAAAGCTTCTCTGGGCAACCTGTGCCAGGGCCTCACTGCCTTCACAGGGAAGAATTTCTTCCCAGTATCCCATCTAACCCTACCCTCACTCACATTTCCCTCTCCTTGGAGCCAGGACACCCCTACAGATCCCAGGGGGGTCTCAGGGTCAGGACAGGGCTCACGGTGCCCATGGCTGTGGATCCATGGCTGGAACAGTGTCCCCAGTGTCACCCCAGCCCCGGGGCCAGGCACTCCTGCAGGACACTGCTCACGGCAGCATCCCAGGGCAGAGCAGCAGCAAACAGCGCTCTTGCCTGGCCAGCT